TTTTTTTTTAGTTTTAGTAATTTTGCTTTGTTTTTGTCCTTTTTATTAAATTTTCGTTTTTAGGTTTAGTTGATTTATTTTTAGTTATTTGAGTACTTCAATTTAAGCTAAATCAAAATGAGAAATACTCCCTTGGCAACTAGCTGAAATAAAATAAATAAACGTTTTTTTAATATATTTTATTTCAGTAAAAAAAAAATTCTTTGATTTATCATTTTAATTTTGTTAGGGGAAAAACGTCATATTTTGTAAAGACAATATGCAAACTTAAAAAATAATTGTATATATATAAGTTAATTTTTAAACAAATCTTTACTTTTTTAGATATTTATAATATTTTTATGTGCTGAGAACTCATTGCTCATTTTTCATTAAACTCAACATGGGGCTTGAATGGTTCAGACAAAAAAGAATAAGTTAAATTCTCAGTCAGTAAATTATAAATGAAAAATGTAAAATGGTTGCTTATGTACATAACAGCAGTTAAACATACTGTTAAACATACTATATATGCTGTTAAATCACATCTTGGCCTTCCATCATAAAAAAAAAGCCATTACACTATTGCAAATATACTCTTTTAAACCAATATCCTGCATTTTTATATGTGCATGGCAAAAAAACAAACAAAAAAACCCCAGAAGATTTGTTTGAATAATCAATGCATTTCATTTAGAAGCCAAAGAAATTAATGCAAAAATTATTCTGAATCAGCTGCATAGAAACAAATCTTGCATTGAATCCAATTACTGTTTTGTGCAGGAGCAAATAGCACAATATGCAACCAAAAAGCAAGAAATACGTGCAAAAGCAACTCAAAACAGCACATTTAGCTAATATTGCAGCCCTACTATATTTTCACATATTTTAGACAATCAGGAACAGGAAATACTCTCATATGTAAAGGTAGAGCTCTTGAAGTGTCTGATATCTCTGAACTGAGATCTGTGAACAGCAGTTCTGCTCGTCCTGTCAGTTATGGCTGGTGCGCTGAACAGGTTTTTCAGAGTGAGGAATGCTGGTATTTTCTCATTTATACACAAATACACACCCACCTGTCAGCGTATCAGTAGCTGAGTTCTCAGGAAACACCACTTGTCTTCCTGTCATCCCTCTGTAACGCACCTCTCCATCTCTCTGTCTGTCTGTCTGCCATGAGCTCCTCCAGCTTCAGCAGCCGCTCAGTGGGCTCGTACCCCCGTGCCGGAGCACAAATCCCCCAGCAGGGGAACTCGTATTTCGGGTTTGGGAGCATGTCACCGGCTGCGGCCCCCATCTGGGCTGTCTGTTAACACAAGCCTCCTAACTCCTGTGGATCTTCAGCTGGACCCAGACCTGCAGGCTGTACGGATCCAGGAGAAAGAAGAGATCAAAACTCTCAACAATCGCTTTGCCTCCTTCATCGACAAGGTGAGACCTCTCTCTGCCTGTTATACCCTGCTCATTATATCTATCTATCTATCTATCTATCTATCTATCTATCTATCTATCTATCTATCTATCTATCTATCTATCTATCTATCTATCTATCTATCT